CGGCAAAATTTGACGGAAATCACCAGACATTAAAATTGTCTTCCTTCCAAATATAATTTCTTTATCACCCGTTGCACTTAAATCACGTAAAAGTCTGTCAATAACCTTAAGAGCAAGAATAGGGCACATTGAAATTTCGTCTAATAATATCAGCGAAGCCGTATTAATATACTCTCCTTCAACACTGTTAGGAGTAATGCTTGACACTGAATTCTCCAAAATTGGAATTGGCAACTTGAAAACGTTATGCAAAGTTCGACCGCCTATCAAAAGAGTGGAAGCTATGCCGCTAAATGCAGTAGCTATAGATTTAAGGTTCAAAGAATTTAATTTATGTATGATTGCTGTTTGAACAAACGTTTTTCCGCAGCCTGCATGTGCTGTTAGACAAAATACGTTGCTGCCAGTATCACGATGTAAAACTTCTCGCAAAACTTTGTCTATAATATAGCGTTGTTCGTCATTCGCGCTCTTATATATTTCATCAAAAAGAGCACCCTCTTCATGTTGATTGAAATGATCAAAATTTACGTATTCCAGCAAAGGAAGTGGAGTTGGTAGACCAAGATCTTGACACGAAAGGTTGTGTGTTTGAAGAATGTCACTTATTTCTATCAGAGCTCGATTATATGATTCATATTCATTGTGAACCGTTAGGAAATCTTCACTCATGCAAGTCTTAAATTCATTCCACAGATCTAAGGCATTTGAAGGATTATTTAAGCCACAGATGAATCCAAATAACTATATTTTTCGAGGGGACTCGGTTTCTCTAGCTTCCATCATACATTCGCGCCATTCATTATCATTAGTTGCTAAACCTCGTGCCTGGCATGCGTCGACAAATGTTGAATACAAAACTCCCTCATACATTAATAAATCAATAAAAGACCTTGGGCCACGAACATGCAGTAAGAGCAACCGTAAATGGAACAATTGTATATTTTTTGGTGACACAACGTATAGTCTTGAAATAATTTTATCTTGTCCACGTTGCCTTTTGATCCATTTCTTTTCTTTGCTATTCCATACATAATGCAGTGGTGTTTCGCTATACAAAAATCCATTTGCCCCAGAATCGTAATTATTTAACTCAAAAAATGCCAATAATTTAGTCCTTGGGGGATTTGAAACCGCTTCTCTCTCATTTCCCTCCCTAAAGTAAATATTTTCATGGTTAGGCAAATGGAAATCTTCGTATATACACCAAGCAGCCTCCGTCGAACCAACGAAACGCCCATTTAAGAAATTTTCAATCTCATCTATTTGAAATTCGCCATTTGTTTGCCTACTTTGTACTCCAAACTGCAACGACGCGCAATCATAACCTTTGTACACATATTTGTAGATGTACTTAACGCTCTTAACTGTTGTACATACTTCAACATTAATGTGACAATCAAATTTTGCAAGGAGAGAGGGATTGTATGGAACAACATATTGGTTGTTGAGGGAATGCCCACGCACATCAATAAATATGCCGTTGTCCCGTCTTCTATATACGGGATAGCCATTTATACTGTTATGTGTACAATTACTGAAATCTTTTGGAAAGTTTTTTCCACACTTTCCATCTCTCATGCATATCGAATTTGGATTAAGTTCCCCACATGGTCCGTGCATCATATGGCCTTTAACTAAGCTATGAAGTTTTGGATGAGTTTGTATGCCCGGAATTTCTGCACAAACAAATTTGTCGATATCAGCAATACCATCAATTCTGTCGCTGAATTCCAGCGTTAACAAAACATGAGCGTGTGGAAGTCCACGCTTTTGGAATTCAATGGTATAAATGATTGCTTCAACTTTCCCAAAGATTTGTTTTTTAAAAATTGAATCGATGAGCTCTTTAAGTTTGCATTTGAAAACACGCACAACTATTTCAGGTCTAAAATTGGCGGCACATCCATTAAGAGCGTCAATGATTTCTGGCCACCGCGGATTGCAAGTCATCGTGATGAATAATGACGGCTTGCCAAAATGTTGTACAATACACATTGCGTCCAAATAATTTTGAAACATATTTCGAGGAGAACCAATAAAGGATGACGGCAAAATTACTCTACGGCCTACTGTATTATTCTCATCAGTATGATTTGAATGTTGATGCAAAAAATCTGTCAAATTATTGTAAACTTCAGTGCGAAGGTTTGCTTGATTTTGCCGAATAAAGTGCAACCTGGTCCCTTCAATTCTAACATACATATCGACGATCCATTGAAGGTATAATTTTTGCGAACAATGCAAAAGGCTGAAATCGTCACGAATCGCGAGTCGATAAGAAGTATACTGAAGTAGTGTGACTTTATTCCGTGGAAGTGCCGAGGAAGAAGTATAAGCAATGTTGTGAGAGATATTTACATGCCAACCAGTATCACCATTTGGAAATTATAACGGGTAGGCTAATGGATCTAATGACGAATCCAAAACTGATATGCGCCGAAGGGCTGATTATTTTTAGAAAACACAACCATGTTTCTTTCAAAAGGTGGGTCTCCGTTATCATTTTTGAATGTTGCAGTAACATCAGTGTGAACGACATCATTGTAACGACGCAAATCAGTGTTTCTATTTACATTTATCATCATGAAAACATTAGCAGCAACATGTTCAGGCTGGCGGCATTATTCCGCCATCGATTTAAATGAGCGAACAAATTTATTAACGCGCTCTAATTCAAAAGATAACTCACGCATCAAATCAGCGTCACATCCAACGTTGGATTCTTGACGCATTCTTTGCGGAGCATATAGCGGCGCTTGTCCAACGCCAGGTAAAATTGAGCCAGCTCGGTGATAGAACACGTCATGAATTTTGAAATGGTACACTCCACGTAAAATAGTGTCGTCCAACTTAGCCTCTGAACTCACCATGGCCAAAGAAGAATTATACGACCGAATATTTTCAAAATAGTTTTTTGAACGGTTTTTGGTAGAAGTATTTAAAGAGAAGAGTCCATCAAAAAGTTTCTTAAAAAAAATGTTTTGTGTTAGTGGTGGTAAATTGACTTTGCCTTTGTGGCAACATAGCGTAAACGATTGTTTATCCCGGGATGTAATTTCTGCCGTGAAGTGTTTAGCACCACAATAATGGCAACTGTCAGCGAACCACAACAGAAAGAATCAAATCGACGCGGAAATAAGTTCAGAGCACACTTATATGTATCATTTAATCCGTCAGTTTCGTCATTTAATATATTTCTTATCGCATTTCGCGAAATTCTTTTACGATTTGTTTTATTTTGTTTTTTAACTAAACCAGTAAGGGTGGTACGCTTACGACGCATTTTCGCTTATTTTTTCAACAATTATTTTTTGTTAGACAAAGTTCGCGCACTATATTTGCTCACTTAAAAACTTAACCTCACCAGCTATAAGCAGACTTTCAAATTACAAATAAGCACGTGTTAATGCACTCCAACAAAAAAATAATAACATACGAAACAAAACAAAATGCGAAAACATCGAACTGTTTACAGACCAACAACAACTCCAATTGAACAGCTTGAAACATCAATAACTAATAATACATACAAACAAACATATTGTAAAAGGATACCTGCCATAGACATTCGACATCTTTCGATAAACCTCCCTATATGCCTATAAGCTTCGTTAACTCGATATATTTCGATATATCGAAATCTCGATACTTTACAAATTTCAAAGCCTTGATGATAACTCGGTACATATAATTCGAAAACTATCGATAACTTGATGAGCTTCAAAAACACTTAACTCCAATAACTTAAAATTCGATAACTCGTGCAATTTCGATAACTATCGATTTTGATAGCTTCATAAATTTAGATATCTATCGAAAAACTTCGCTAATTCGACACACTCTTGTATTCCCATAAAATTCGAAAAATAGGGATATATCGATAAACCAATTTCGATAAATACACAAATACATACCTATAGCTCGATACATTATGATAACTCCATAAAAATTTCGATAACTTTAAAATTCGTACATACATATACATTTCGTCGATGTTTTTGCAAAACCGCCCATCGACCAGTTGCAAAACCGCTTAAATCGCCATTGTGGCAAAAAGGAGATTTGGTAACTCCGAACTTCAGGCATCGAGATTTATGCATAAAAATCGTAAAATCGTTAGTAAGACAAAAGATTTTTAAAAAATAGCTAGAGAAAATAACGCCTATGAAGGCAATACCTTCAAAGAAAACCCGTTTTTTTGCTCTCCTGTAAAGTTTGAGTGCCGTAAGATAGGCGGTTTTGCAAAAACATCGACGATATGTCTGTACACATATGTACCTATGGTTTGTATTTCTCACTGTTTTAATTTTCGTCTTTATCGTCAATTTCGCCTTCACATTTTTACCTTCATCGTTGTTTATCATTTCTTTTTAAATCTTCATTTCTAATACGAAGTGAAACAACAGGCGAAACATGGCAAATTGAACATGTTGCAGCAACATCTATACACAATTCGAAAAGGTTTAAACGACGGGTTTGGCCGTAATTTTCAACCAATTGTGAAACCATAAAAACTCTGCTCATCTACGGAAAAATGCCTTTCCAACGGTGTTCTTGGTTTTGAAATCGGTTCGGTAGAATCGCCAAACGAACGGAGACAAAATTTATGTTAGCGCAATAATATATAGATTCTTTTTTCTAAACGGTTATAATGCCACCATTTCATAATTGGAAAAGAAGGGAGGGGAGCGGGGGACGCGATCGCGAGCACGATGCTGCGCACTTTCAAAATTGTAGACTTAGGAATCCCTCCATTTAACTTGTTCATGTACTACTTTTTGTCAAATGTAACTGGGTGACTACAAATGTGCACTATTTTGCTTTATTACTCAATTGTTAAGTTTAAAAGTTGGGTCTTATTGCTCAACGTGAAATGAAATAAAGCAAATTTGTGTTATTTCACATTCAATTGGGAAATAACACAAATTTGCGTTATTGTCGTTTGAGTTATTTCACCCCCTTGGGCCATTTTAATAACAAATGTGAGGAGTTCTTGTAACTTATTTAAGTTTTTTTATTCTAATAATGTTATTTTAATTTTTATAAACAATCACAGTAATTAAAATAACAATTTTGACGTGTCACTTTGGGTACCTCTTGTACGTTTTTTGAGTATAACTTTTTAGCGCAAAACGGAGACATTCAAAAATCATGACAAATAGTAAATGTAATATTGGAAAATGCATTAAGCGTTGAGAAAAATATGTGCTCCTCATTGGAAATAGACTGTAACAATTTGAAATCTGTCACTCGTAATTATCAAAAAGGTAATATCTTAAGTTCTTTTTCATTTTGAACTTTCAGCGATTGTTAAATTGTTCTCTTTTGTTTATATAAATACTACTTACACATTAAAGAATGAAATAAGACCTTTGACACTTGTGTGCCTTTCAAAATATTGAAAATATAACAAATATTATCTGAATAGGTGTTTGCGTGAATGGCTTCAAATTTCTCATTTTTTGGATAGCAGCGCTGACAGACTAAAAAATAAAGGTTGGCATTAACCGCGATCGTTAGATAACATTATTCATAAAGTTCGTTGAAAATGCTAAATACATTAAATAATTTGTATCTGAAATACGGCCATGTATATATATGTGTGTATGTAAAGGATTTTCAGATCTTTGGGCAGTGCGGTTATCGAATTTTGAAATATATACTCAAAAATGATATTTTCAGTGGATCTTAAGCGAAAACTAGTTTTTCGAAAAATTTTCTGGAAACTGGGAAAGGTTCGCCCACTTATGTCCAATAATTGTATCTTGAAAACTTAGCTAATTTAGTTTTGTGCGTGCAATTTAAAAATTTATGTTTTTTTTAGCGTTGAATCGCATGGTTCCGGAGATTTACCCATATACATATAATTTTGCTCCTACCAGTAGTAGCTACAAGTATATTAGAGGGTTCAAATTGCTATAAATATGGGGCATTATATGTCAATCGGATAGGTAAAAAACATTGATATCTCAGATTTGAGCAAGAATTGAATATGTTATGTATAAGTATGCTAAAAGTACCAATAAATTAAACAAATGTATATTTATAATAGTAATAATAGAGCTTTTCATTTTCATTTTTCGGAAGTAAAATAGTTTATATTTTTTTAAATTATAATTTTGTAAAAATTTTTTTTTATGAGAAAATGTATAATATTTACATAAAATTGGGCTTTCTCATTATAATAAATGATTGGCCTAGATTCTCCTTCAGTTTGTGGTGTTGGTCCTGAGATACCCAATTGGAGTAAAAATTTAGCTGTACTCATGGACAGTCCGCTAAGCGGTCTATTTTGAGTAATGTTTTTATGTCGTTATCTCTATTCATTGAGCATTATGCATTAATAACGGCCACTTTTTGTGAAAAATTAGGTCATGGTAAATTTAAGACTGTTTTGTTTTTGAATACTAAGCAAATTATAAAGTAATCTTCCGGTATGATAGACCTTGAATTTACTACACTATTCAGCTTGGGTATTTCTTAATAATATTATTATTATTATTATTTTTTTTTAAGGCTGGAAACCCTATTCTAAAACATGTTTCTCAAACACTTTTCGTTTGATGACCATATTGTGAAATTGCTTTTTTGCTTCATTTTGAATTTTTAGGAAAGTGGCAACTCTTGTTAAAATATCGCGTGAGATATACAAACCAAACTTCACAGGAACGCTCTCCGAGTTTCGAAAAAGATATCTTGAAACTTTTAACACAATGGGTTTAGTAGCTTCGGAGTCCAATTGTATATGTATCGATCATCTGTATTTTCGACAAATTATTAAAAGATAGTTTGAAATGGGGAAACATGATCTGAATAAAAGAAGACCCGAAATTTACAATTAGGGAAAGCCGTCAGTTAGTCGATTCAAAAGAACGTGGGCCGATTTATGAACGCAATGAGTTGTTAAGTACTCCAGCTGACGGTCTTCCCCCCACTGTACCTGTAAGCGCATACTTCCTAATGTGCCTACAAGTCATAGAAACAAATTTCATTCCTTACAATTTTTTTTACAAGGAAATATAACGGCATCCCCCAGCCACACTCACCGCCAGTCAGCTTGGGTATCATCCACGTAAAATATATTAGGAGTATTCTCGATCCGGTGCATACTGTCTAGTATGGTACATAGATAGTAAAAACAGAATGATTGGCTAATTTTGTTGTTGTTTGAATACGTGAATGCCCCTACTGTGACTCGTAAAATCAGTCGGCATGCAATGACTTTGTCAAAAAGACCCCTAGCTATCAGACTATAAATGGATTTTTACAATTCCCTAGTTGCTCAGTTCAGCTGACTATTGCATTTGAGGTAACACATTTTGGTTTTTGTTTTTAATCTGACCGAAAAATGTTAATTTTGCAAAACAATCCTCATTTACATTGAATACCAAAATTATTAAAGAATTCTAATGCTTCATCTGAACATATCCTTATGATTTTATGCGATCAAGGAATATATTTGTTAGAGCTTTTCTGTGGTATTTCTAGAGACGAGCGCTATAAGAAAAAGTTGTTTTTGTGATAAGTTTTTACTATGCTGATTATTTCCTGCCAGGGTGCATTTCCATACCTAGTACATACTGAAAGCCTGATTATGGCAACTTAACTTAACTTAACGGAACGTAGAAGTTAGAGAATCAAAATGAAACAGACTTCGACGTGGCATTAAGTTACGTTAAGTTTCGGCTGTTCAATTATAAGCAACACCCATTTAACAGAACTTTTAAGAGAGAGCCATATGTTACGTTAAGTTGCAATAATCAGACCATTGGACATATGTGTGTAAGTACATATGTATGTATAATACATGCGTGTTTAGATGGTGAAGTGAACATTTGTCGGCGTATTTGGTGCCTGTAATTTGAAACGCTTCTTTGATTTGAGAAATTTGCTATGTAGGCAAACAAATAAAAGAATAATTCGCATGAAAGAGCTTACAAAAGCTTAGACGAACAAGTGAAGAAGTGTATAAGCAATAGGGTGGTCCAACAGTAAAGTCGGAATTGTAATGCTCTCACCCCTAGGGTTGTTCTATATCGAAAAAAGGTATACCCCATTTTTTTTATTTTGAAATCAAAATATATTTAGAGATCGCTCAAAGCGCTCAAAGTTTTTCATGCATTTTATATGTGGAAAAAACCACTTTTCGTAGGAGTGGTATGGAATTCTTGAAAATCAATATTTTTCGATCGGAAAACTCTGATTCTCTTCAGGAGACTTTCAATAATAATACCCAATAGTTTATTTAGCAATTTTTTAATACTAACGATTTTTTATTGGTCGCCCCATTGCATTTTTCGGGGTTTTTGGCGGACCTATAAATTATAGGTGCGATGAAAAAATGGTTAAATAAATAATTGGGTATTATTATTGGGAATCTCCCGCAGATAAACAGAGTTTTCTGGTAGAAAAATATTGATTGACTATTCTATACCATTTCTACGAATAGTTGTTTTTATCCATACAAAATACATTAAAAACTTTGGGCGCTTTGAGCGACCTCTAAATATTTTTTGATTTCAAAATAAAATAATAAGAGTATACTTTTTTTCAGTATAGAACAATTCTAGGGGGTGAGAGCATACAAATTTCGACTTTACTTTTTCACATGCATTTTTGGACCACCCTAATAAGCAATTGGTAAGCTGGAAGACAATTGCAAACAACAAAATGCTTGCAATAACTGGCATTTTGGCGGCAATTCTTTTGCATTGCGTACTACTTGCTGTTTACCAGCAGCTCGCGGTCCCCTCTGGGCAGCTAGGCACCATTCTCAAATAGTAGTGGAAGTTACTGCAGCGGTAAAGTAGATACATAGTATGTACAACCTCAATACAAATCGTAATTGAGAGTTTTAGCCAGCGGCCCATTAACAACTAAGAAGTGTAGCGAAATTTCATTGCCATTACTACGGTGATCATATTTGTAAGAGCCCCGAATACGGGACAAAAAATAATTTTGCTAAGTTTTTCCACACTGTTTTCCCTGAAACAGTATCCCTATAGTAACATTACAAATTTGTAGGTTAATTTTCCCGAGATTTTTACCCCGTAAAATTTGCTAAAAAACTCGTTAATTTTAGTGTAATAATTGTTGGCAATTTTTTATTTTTTTTGTTGACGGTGTTCCGCATTTTGTTCAAGCAAAGCACAGCAGCACTTTCCACTCGTACTTTATTATACTCAATTTTAATAAGTTACAAACTGCGTTGCCGAAAGCTTTCGCTGAAAAATCGTAAATTTACCCCAAAAAAATCATAATTTCTACAAAAAAGACGTACAATTTTTATTTATTGTACTTTTTTAACAATAAAAAATAATAAAAAATTACAATAAATATGACCATGTATTATAAATCCAATGTGGGTTCCCATTGCATATGGGTTAATACAAGTAATTTTTGAGCAAGAACAACCGACTTCCATCCTCATGTAAAAATTTTAGATTCCCGTAATTTCTTCATTACCAAATGATCGCATCTAAACCGAACTACCACCTTTTCTATAAAAAAATAATTATAGAAATCGCTTAACGTGGTCCAAAGTTATGCGATAACATACATATATAAAAAAAATAATCAGCCTTACAAATGAGTTTAATTTTCCCCGAACTGATTCACTTTTAAATTTTCGTTTCCATGTATTTACTATAAGCGGATGAACAATTTTCGGGTGAATATTTTTTCAGACGAAACTCAGGATAAGGCTTAATAATATCCTGACGAATTGATAGCCTCCTCCTTTTTTTGAAGTGGGTTAAAAAGTTAATTTGTAATTGATAACAACGATTTAAAATTACAATTTGAAACACAACTGCTTTTAAATTGTTCAATTCCACATGTTTGAGGTTTCTTAAAAGATTTTGATCTACTTTCAAAGTGTAACGGGAGAATTTGTTAACTGATAGATTTCTTAATTGAAAAAATTCTCTCTCCCATTCATCTTTCTCTTTGAAATGAGTGTCAGCAGTGAAAATTTACGATTTGGTTACAATTCTAGAACAAATTAAATATAACTAAACGCACGGTTGTAGAACCAGACAATATAAATGCAATGGCTGCTATGTTGTATACTTGCCATCAGCTTTCATAATTTTTATGCACTGAGAAAATAATATAGCTGTCACCATTATCATGTGTTGAGGGAAACATCTTAAGATGACTTAACTAAATTATATTCTTGGTTTGAGAGTAGGAAAAATATTAAAATTGTTTGCAAAATTATCGAAAATAAATTCATTTTGGGAAAATTTGTACGCCCAGAAAAAAGTTAGCTAAAAATATTTATCTCAACACATGATTTGGTAACTATAACCAAATAATGTAACTATGTTTAACCAAATCATGTATTGAGAGAAATATATTTAGCTGACTCTTTTCTGGATGTATAAAGATACATAAATAAGTGTAATGTGCACAAGTAAATTAATAAAGACAACTTGATTTGGAATTTACATACTTATATTGGGCATTTCGGTCGGGAAACACACACTCAGAAAATGTCAACTAAATATATGTATTACATATTTAGTTTACGTATTTAAACTCTATTCTTGGTGCATGAAGCACATAGTAAATTATTTCAATTTCCGTCTATAATTCTTCAAAACTTTAGCACGCGATGATATCAAAAGTGAAAATAAATAGCTGCATTTTTATTATTTGCATAAATAAAAACCAATGTTGCCCTACAGAACTAATCTATGAAGCAGCCTTAAACTCGCCCTGAAAACTTGGTAGGAGTTTCAACTTAGTTTAAATTTTAACTAAACTTCGTTTAAACCAGCACGGAAAAAGTGGTCTTTACCTACCCACTTACATACATATGTACAAATACATACACAAAGAAAAAAAATAATAATATTTCAATGTCTGAGAAGCGCAACTACTTCAGTCAGAAAGTAATTCAAACGAGTGCAGTATTTCTATACGCAAATGACACTGGCAATAAAAATGAAGAATTTGTACATATGTGATGTTGATATGGCTTTTAAAGGAGTAGAAATGACATTGTCATTAAAGGTAAAGCACATAGCGCACTTAGTCAGGTTTCACAAATTCGAAAGCTCCCAAAGAACGGTTTTGCGTAACGAGGGTATCCTGAGCTGATGTCTAATGCTTTGTTGTCGCATTCACAGCAAGTACTTGCATGTGTATTAGTGTACTAAGGCAGCGGGAAAACGACTAGAAATAGGCATTCAAACTGAAAAAAGGTAACAAGAATGAAGAACATTTTGCAAAAATAGATAAATGAGAAGGATTTGTTTTCCTTCGTAGCACTTATGATTTTTTTCGTTTGAAAGGATTTATACAGTGTAACAACTAATATTATTTTAACATCCTGATGAAGCAGATATACAAAATATTTCATAAGGGCAACGTTTTTTGTTGATGGGAAATATAATTGGTTCCCGAAAATCCTAAGATTGTAATTTGACATATGTACATATGTACATACGAGAAACTAGGCTGCCAAAAGGAATGTAATTTTTTAGTCAAAGTCTAGTATTTACGAAAATGAATTAATTGACCGTTGCGAAACCCGTTAAAGTTATCAAAAAGCAAGCCATAAACGTTGCAATCGTTCGTTCAACTTGATGATGTTATGCTCTGGATTGCAACGTTTATGGGCCCGTTGAATGAAGTTGTGTTTTGGTTGTATGAAATATCAAAACACTTTGATTTTCTGGCAAGTTGTATAACTCGTCACAACATTTACAACGATATTCTATTTTGTCGTTATTTTCGTTGTGACCACGTAGCAAACACATTGGGCCATATGCATAAAACTTAGGCAAATGCTTTTTCTTAAAATTTCAGACTTTTTACTCAATTTGTTCAAATAAATTTAAGTGAAAGGTATGCAACTTTAAGGTAAAGTAATTGCTTAGTTTTTATGCATACGGCCCATTGTGTGTGAGTTTTATTTGTTCACTAAATAACCCAAAATGAATAACTCAGACGAAATACGTGTTTTTGTTGAATTTTATAAATGTATGCCGAAACTATGGAATTGTAAAAATGAAATTGTTTAGGTTTGTTCGTCAGGAAAAAAATTTGTACGAATTATCATGATTTTTACCCAAATCGAGTTCGTGCAGACCAAAAAATTATCCATCACTCAAAAACTGAGAGCGCAAAGTGGACAGTTCTCCTAAAGAGAAGTTGCAAATTATTGCTGGAAAAATTTTAGCCAGCAAGAATTTGCAATCACGAAAAACATATGATTGCGGCACATGGTTGCATTTTTGTCTACGATAATTTGAATAAATAAGTTCGTTAAATTTAAAAATGTATAAGCACAAGCGATTTTTTTATGAAAAAAGGAAGTAAATACTTGTTGATATAATTAATTTAGTTAATTCCAATGATTTGAGCTTGACTGAAAAAAAAATTGTATTCGCAATCGGAATGCAATTGCAACCAGAGACGATTTAAGAAACGATAAAGAAATTGAAATGTTTGCTAAAGAAAGTGAGAACAACAAGAAATATACATGTATATCCTGTTTTTGTACATCCGTACATACTTATGTGTCGCTACTCGCTAGAGTGCTGACCCCATGCGACCACTAACGTAATATTTTTTTGGGGGAGGTAAGTTTTTAATTTTTTTTAAGTTTGAAGCCGAAAATATGTTTTTGTTTTTTAAGTTAACGATAATAGTGTACTTTAATATTTTTGATAATACACACTTCGTTTTTTTTTTTATTTTGAAAACTCTTTTTTCAACACTTTTATTGGGGTCACTGGGGACTCCATGCGACTAATTGTGTGATTTTCTTTATGCGCCTAATTAAGGGTTAAGACTTCTATTCCAGCTGTGTAACGTCGATCTCACAAACCAAGGTGGACTACGTGAAAGGTCATAATTCTGCGGATAAAGCTGAATCTCTGTAGCAACTAAAAACCAACTTTCGTCAAGTTATAGCTGAGATATAAACCAATACATGTGTAAATTTTCTTTCGAAAATTACTTCATTTGAATGATGCCGTATTCCACGAGAAAGTTTAACTGGGTTTTATTTAAAGTTAAAGGTTACTTGAGAAAACGGCCCTTACAGTATTAATGGTACGATAAATAAAAATCTAAAATAAATGATCTATTTGTATTTTTAATACTCAGATATGTACATACATACATGCACTTCAGTGTTATTTATGGTGTGGATTTTTCAAATTTAAATGGATTTGACCTTGAAAATAACATCAAAAAATATTTATATGAATCATACACTTTATTTTTATATCTTCTACTGTTCGACCTGGTGTGCACACCTACATTTGCACCTACTTACATACATATGAACACTTCCCGGCAACACTGTAACAAGCAAACTGCCTGCAGAAGGGATACTGCAGAAAGAAGTTCAAGTCACAGTTGTGCAGTCGTTGCAATATGAAAACATCCGATTAATTTGAGGCGTCGGTTAGAGGGGCGGTGCAGTGCAAAAACCTGCCAGTGCATTGAACTTGCAGTATTTTTCTTAATTTTTTATTTATTTTTTTAGTTTTTTTCGTTTATTTTACCTACTCGTAATTTTTAGTCATTTTTTACTTGGCGTAATGAAATGGCGTACTTTATAACTCCGTCAGTGGATTCGATGGTGTTGCCAGGGGACTTTGGCGAATACGCTAGAGGAGGGTTGAGACGCATCGAGTATTAATGTACTCAGAGCGCTAGCGGCTGGCGGTGCGCACAATATTAGCAAAGTGTTTACCTTGCCCTAAACACCGCAGTACCAGTGCCAGTGGTCTCTATATACTCATGTGAGATGGTGCCAAGCAGCTTGGTCCCGCCAACTTAAGTGCGCTTTTTATTGTAAGTGCTAAATACTACATAGCTTTACGTATGAATGCAAAGGTTCGTACAAATAAACGATGATTAATTTTCTTAGATGAGCGAGTACTAAAAAATTATACTCTAGTAAACTGCGGAACTAAATGCGTGTAGACATAAAATTTTAAAAACTGTGTTATGTGCTCATGTAGTAGTGCTTGGCATATAATATATGCAATTTAGGGTTGAGTTAAAATCAATGTACATATCTGTTACCAATTCAAATATCTATCATATTGTAGATAAAGATGCTTATTCAAAAAAATACACCCTCGCTAGAGGAATAAATTATGTACCTACCACATATATTATCATAAAAAAACAAAATGTTTATTTTTTACCGTCTTGTTAATTAGAAAAAAAACATTTCTAAAAGAAATTTTACTTTTTCTAATACTTAATAGAAACTTTTCAATATAAAAAACTTGTTCTTTCGTAAGACTATTCGACTCCCACCGATTAATCGGCATCGGCATTGGAATCGGCTAGTATCGGCTTAAAATTGAGCATCGGCATCGGCATCGGCATCGGCATCGGCCTTTTTTCGCCGATTATTTGAAATTTCTTTTCATATGTTCAGGTGAAGCGACAGACAACAGCTAACATCAAAAAACATTTGCAAAATGCTGATTAAAAAGTTTGAAATTTAGGGGCAAAAAGCAGATTTTTTCTAATTTTTGTATAAAGTTTGAAATCTGAATTTATATGGTGTTTGTCGTATACCAGCTAGACTTTTATACAAAAAATAATAAATACTAAATAAACAAAAGACAAATGCCAAATGCCAAAAGCGGTCAAAATATCTCAATTCTTTTATTTTGTGGACCACTATATGTATGTACTAGGGCATTCAATCCCGGGATCCAAAATCCCAGGATTCCCGGATCGCGGACACTTTTACATGTCCCGAAATCCCGGGATTACAGCTCTGGGATCCCGATTTATTTACAGAATGAAAGAGATGTTGGAAACGAAAAAAAGAATTCATTTGACATGAAACACGAGAAATGCAGAACACCAAAATTTGGATTCAAAGTGAACTTGAGCCATTTGCACTTGTTCAAATGTTTTGTGCAAGAACTTTGTTATAACGAAAAATCTGAAGGCTACTCTGTAATGCGATGCGAAAGGCAAATACGTCGTAGCAATACGCTGTCGCGATTGCCTATCGCATCGCATTTTTCTTTCCCATCGCATTACAGAGTAGCCTTCCGGGTAGCAATTGAAAAACAACAAGCTTTTATAGTTTAGCAGAGTTGTTCTTCATTTTACTTTGTTGGCATTTTTTTGGAAAAGGGCTTCTGCAAATATGAGTAAATGTTTTTGACAAGTAATATAGATATTTTAGAATAAAAATATTTCAACATCAAATTACATACTCTTTTACTAAGGGGCATTATGCTCCCCTAAGACCAAATGTGGTGACAGTGAATCTGTGTGGTTTGAAAAAGGCGAACCTACTGTAAAATGTAAAAAGTTGTGATGAAGTCGAAATCCCGAAATATCTCTGGATCGCGGGGCGAGGATTTTTGAATCCTGAAATCCCGGGATTGTTAAAATGCTTCGGGACTGAATGCCCTAGTGGGTACATACATACATACCTAGCATATAAGTTCTTATGCATTGAGTGCAAAATAGTGTATTTTAGTACAAAACGAAATGAAATTTTATGCTCCTAAATATTTCTTGCTTATCACCATACATATAAAAAAGTGTTTTATGTAACGTACATAAATTCTTTTGTTTTGTTAACTCCATTAAACTAACTGATTTTATGAATTAATACATTTATTTGTAATGTATTTTATGAAATCGGCATCGGCATCGCCCGATTCTTTCCCCATAAGCCGATTAATCGGCATCAGCGTCGGTACCTGAAAAAATTTGGAATCGGTCGGACTTTAAAGAAAATTTTTTTTAAATTCCTAAAAAGGAAGTCTAGTTAATATTGTTAGAAGTCATTTGAATTACTCAAAAGTAATACGCTGTGGTTTAGTGGTTAGTAGTGCGCGCTACCATTACGCAGGACCTGGTTTCAAGCCCAGTTTCCAATCAACATAAAAAAAAAGAAAAATAAAGTTGTTTCTCCTCGTCAGACAATGGCAAACCTCCGAGAGTACTATTTCTGCAATGGAAGAACTTCTCATAAAAATACGAGCGCCGTTCGGTGCCGGCGTTAAACGGTAGGTCCCTCCCCTTTTGTGTGACCACATCAAGGCGTACGCCACAAAATTGGAGAGCAGAAGCTCGGCCAAACACTAACATATTGTGTACGCGCCAATCTATTATTATTACTAAAATCTTCTTAATTTCATATGGTTAGCAATGACCGAGTCCGATGCATCATCAGCGAAGTTATTCTTCTTTTGAAATTTTTAAACAATAAGTTAATAAAAAATTTTAAAGAAATTTTTATTGATTTTATTAAAAGATAAGTGTTTTCTTGATGTAAAAAGACTGTCTCCTAAAAGCAAAATATAGATGGATATCTTATTATATTTGTATTTTATTAGCTAATTTTTTTTCTATGTGTACGCGCCAATTATTTACTTATGTATTTACTTAGGGTTTATTTCTTGAACTTATTTTTTATTGTTTTCTTAAAAAAAAAATTGTATTATACATAACAGTCTTACTGAATACATTTTTCAAATCCGGCTGATATTGCTATCATCATGTCTTCAAAAATCTCCATCGCCATGAAAATTTAAATCCTCCTTTATGATCATAAACAGAAGATCAGATGCTAGTATCCATAGTATAATTAAAAGCAAGTGCAAATGTCCAACACTAAGTTAAAATTTTCTTGCATGCATATGTATGTAATTTCAAGCTATGAAGAACCAAATCAGAAATAGGCGCGGCACTACACGCCACTCACTGCCTGTCACTGTCCACGCGCGCCTTGAAACTTGCCACTTGCCGCCACCAGGCGCATTCCCTATTCCAGACACCTGACAGGCACTCATGCAGCTCTATTCGGTCATCCTGTCATAATTCGAACAGGATAATGTGGCTTAGAGTCTTGCCATGACATGCTCCGAATATTATATATATATATATAGATTGGCGCTTACACATATGTTAGTGTTTGGCCGAGCTTCTCCTCCGATTTGTGGCGTGCGCCTTGATGTTTTCACACATAGCGGAGGGACCTACAGTTTTACGCCGACTCCGAACGGCG